ACTATGTAGTCATTCTAGTCTTCTCCCTTTGTAAGTTGCAGGGGCGTTGGAAGAGCTATCAAGAAGTACTAGAGGTCCGCGGACAGTTTCATTTCATTTCAGATGACCATTGCAATTGAACTGTTGTAACCTGAATTGGCTGTCAAGAGTGTTGTACCAAGACAGACTCAGCTCTGCATGGGTTCTGGGACGATAACTGACAGCAATTATGATGGGTGAACAATGGAAGAGAAAGAGAGTATGTATACCATGGACTTGCCCCTCCAGTTCGAGGGGGAACAGACTTGGATGATGGGGCAGCGGTTATATCGGGGTCAGCATAGAAAAGGGGTCAGAATGCCTGAGCTTAGGCCTCTTTTCCATATAACATGATAAAAATGCTTCCCCAGGTATGTGTATCCCTTTGTGATTTTCAAACTGCTGGTACTTCCGTCACCTCGCTTGGTATCCTCAACACTCTTAGAAGATACGCATTTTAGATAAAGGAAAAAATGTTTCAGGGGAGCTAGATGATTTTCCTGAAGGCATGCAGTGTGAGTGGTTGTCAAAACCAAGGTTAGAGCCTGCATTTCTCGCGGCTCCTAGCAGGAGCCCTTGCCATAGCCCTGGCACAGAGGCCTGGCTCTCATTAGTGACTGGAAAACCTCCTGGTCTCTGTTCTAGAAAAGTTTTTGAACCAACAACCAACAAAGAAAACACTTTGCTCAGCAGCCCATGAATAAGACACCCTCTTCGAGCAAGCTTGTGGAAAGTTCTTGGAGTGACATCAACAAGGAGTTGGCCGCCATCATTCCTCTTGACCTTCAGGACTCAGCAAGGTATGGCCGGTTCTGAAGGATGCATGGGTTAAAGTGCTTTTGCTCCCTCCAATCTATCTCACAGGGCGGCATTGTAAAGGAAACCAAAGCTGCCTGCTCCGGCATTCAACAAAGAGGCCCTCATGGAAACACACATGCAAGCACCAAGCTCTTAGGTGTCCAGGGAACACAATCAGGTAGTCATTCCCCTCCCCAAACCACGGGCTTGAGAAGCTTTCCAAACGCGCAGCCTGAGAAAGATTACTGAAGTGTTTCTTTTTAAGATGACTTTTTAATTGCAAAATGATAATATCCCAGCACCTCTGCCTCACTGACATTAGGGAAATATTTAGAAAGCGTTTGTGTGTCCTAAGAGAAAGGGTGGTACATAATTGCAAATTATTACCACTTTTGCAGGTCACGCTGACAAGATTATCTCCCAGCAGGCTGACAGTCAGAAATCTGCTTCTAATCTGGTGGTTTTTCACAGCTGGTAACCTTTTTATTTATTCCTGGATAGAATGGAAATGAGTGCTGTGTGTCTTCTCCTCTCACTTTCATGGACCATTTATCACATCAAAGCCCATTTGTCTGCGTACCAGCCTAACCAAATTAGGTAAACAAAGTTCTAGAAGCAGCCGACAGCTGTCAGCGAGAGGAGTAATCGCAAAGCACAAAGCTCCATGGCGGCAGCTGCCGCATAAACACAGTTTTCAAAAATATGGCAGCTCAGAGGCAGTTTCGGGAGAGAATCTTCAGAGGACTGTTAGAGTGCTCACGATGCTTAATTTGAAAAGGAGGTTTGAATTTCCAATTCCTTAATATGGTAGGAAAAGCCCTGTATGATCTGGCCCCGCCCATCTCTCTGAGCTCTTCAACTCTCTGTCCATCCCCCTCCGTTCCTGCAGTGCCCTGGTCTGCTTTTGGGTCCTCCAGTGCTCTGAGCTCCTTCCACCCCAGGACCTGAGTGTGTACATCCCTCCTTCTGCTGAAAGGTAGAGCGAACACACAGACAACACACAGACACCTGCATGTTCATTCATTCACCCAACACTTACTGAGCATCTAAGGTACCAAAGGACTTGTGCCAAGTGCTATCAAGATACAGAGATAAATGAGACATTGATTCGCAAGTTCAGCCATCAGCACAGCCCACAGTTTGTGTTTAGACATCCATATAAGAAATCATGATAGAAGCCAAGACTTGAAAAGCTTCATAGGAGAATATATGCCCACAGTTGTTCTAAGAATTTTATGCACATTAACGATACAAAACAATCGTAAGAGGTAGATCCTGTTTTTAGGCTCCTTTGAAAAGGAGGCTTAGGGAGATGATCTGGTCCAAAGTCACAAAAGGATAAAGGAAGGAAGAGGGGACGGAGGTCTGGGGCAGGGCCTGAGACTCTGCAGCCTAACAAGCTCCCGGGTGATACAGATGCTATTAATCCAGAGACCACCTCTGGACAAACAGGGCTCTGGAGTGGCAGTTCTCAATGTGTGGTTCCTGAAGCAGCAGCAGCAGTGTCACCTGAGTGCTTGTCAGAAATGCAGATTCTCAGCTCCACCCCAGACCTGCTGAATCAGAAACTCCAGGGCAGAGCCCAGCTGCCTGTGTGAACAAGACCTCCAGGTGATGATACAGGCTGAAATTTGAGAACCACTGCCCTAGACAGCAGTGTATTCTCTAGTCTCCTTCATTTCTGGGTGTGTTTTTTTTTTTTCCCTGCTGGACACTCTGTCTCATTTCCAGATGAGGGAAGAAGCCTTGATATCCTTACTGCACGCACGGTGGGGCCAATGCACAATCCTCCCTGGCAAGTCCTCTCAGTTTCTCAAAGACGGTGAATTGTGCGGAGCATTCCTAAAACCCCAGACCAGACCCCTGACTCAGCTTTTTCTAGATTCACCATTAGCCCCTTTAGCCTGAGTTATAAAACTCTCAAAACCCATGTGTATATACACATATATATATATAGTTTATATACCTGTGTGTGTGTATATTATATATATGTTTTTGATTTGATAGATTTGTGGTAAGATACACACTGGACTATAAGGAATGTTTCCAAGATCTAAATGTAATAACAACAACCCAATAGAAATGAAAACTGCTGAACATGTAGTATTACAGAAAAACACCTCACTCTGATTAACATGATATCAGTATTTGTTAGATAGAAGATTATAATCTCTTAATAAGGGTACAAGCAAAAGGGTACAATCATAATTTTATGAGCCTTGAATTTAATTTCAATAGAAATTGGAGACATTTGTTTCCACTGTATCAAATTGCCTCTGGATTCTGGGAATCTGTACTAGTCAAGATAGAATGGGCTGAGTAGTAAATAAAAGAGATTTTCAGTGGTTTGTCTCTTTCATGATCACATAGCATGTCCAGCCTTGCGTGTGTGTGTGTGCGTGTGCATGCGCGCGCGCGCGTGTGTGTGTGTGTGGTGGTGGTAGTGGGGAGGAGTGCTGTGCTCCACCCAGTCACTCAGGACCCCAGGCTACAAGAGCTCTGCCATCTTGGGACACAACTCCCTCAGCCTGTGGCCCCAGATCCTGGTGCAGGGCAGAAACTGGAGACCTAGCTGTGGCTTTTTCACTCTCTCAACCAGAAGTGGTGCACATCACTTCCACTCACGTTTCATTGGCCAGAACGAGTCTCATGGCTCTGTTTAGCTGCAAGGGAAGCTGGGAAGAGTAGTCTCCTATACATCCAGGAAGAAAAAGAGAACTAGAAATTGATGAACAATAGTGATGCCTCCACACGCAGCTGAAATAAGTTGCATTTGCATCTCCATAAGTGTAATAAGGTATCAAAATGAGTGACAATCAACTGAATAAGATCTCTACAAATCAGCACGTGTGAGACTGCCACTGATGAAGCATTTATTATGTGCCAGACACTGACTATCCTATTTTCCATACATCACCTCAACAGGTGTGAAAGCAGCCCTCGAGGTGGTCCCATTTTTTATGTAGCCAGGGTAAACGTCTAGCCAAGATCTGAGGCAAGATTTGAACTCACTTCATCTGACTCCAGAGCACTCAAACCCAACCCATGCGCAGTCCCCATGGGTAACAACGCCAACCTCCTCCCATTGTTTCAAAGCTCCTGCTGGTTCTATATTGCCTTTCTGTGGACTGCATAGTTGCTTAAGTCAGATCCTACTAAGGATGGTCTTTCATCTCTGCAGGGCGTTGTCTAGTGTACTGAGTCCAGGACCGCAGCCAATTAGAACTTTGTAAGGTCAGGTCTCTGGAAACATCATTAGTTAAACACACACACTTGTGTATACACACACACGCAATGCCCCCACCCCTCAGGGGTCAGCACAGCCTTAAGACTTAGATGCTGATCTATTCTCACTCTGTCTTCTGTTCTATGAGAGAGATGGGGGCCCTGGTCCTCCCCAGAGCTAGAGGAGCCTAGCATCTGCGGACATGCTACAAGGAAAATGTCATTTGGAAACATTTAGCAGGACATAGACATGGAATGAGCAAGAGAGGAGGCTTCTTGCTTCCTTCCCTCAGCTCCCCGGAGGTTCAAAGATAAACTTCAATGCCATGAACATCTTGCCACCTTGCCCTTGGCTTCTGGTACAATTTCCTCCTCTTTCCCATTTGTACGATTCATGCTCTCCAGTTGTCTTTAGTTTTATATCAAGCAAATCGTCTTAGACCAGTTTTTAATAGGCAGAGTATACATCACAAATAAAGGACATCAGAGGGCATATATGTATTCATATATACGCATATGTATGTATGTATATATTAAGTAGCAATCAAATGGACACAGAAAAATAGACCTAAAAAGTCTAAAAACCATGTTCAATAAGGAGCAAAATGTCATAGAGTGGATATGGACATTGGAGTGAAATGGTTTATATCCAAATCCTAGCCCAGATATACCTGCTCTGTGATGCTCAGTTGTCTGTCTGCTCGCTCGCTGCCTCAGTGCACTCACCGCACACACAAAAAAGAAAAGCATCCGCTCCTCGGAGGATGGTTACAAAGGTTAACTACAAAGGTTAACTACAAAGGTTAACTACAAAGGTTACAAAGGTCCGTGTAAAGCAATGAGCACACTTTCCTACAACGCCTCACACAGGGCTTGAAACATAAGTGGTTGTTGTTGATGCTGATGTGTTGCTACTGACCTCACCATCCTTCAGTTGGGGTAAGGAGCGTAAAACTCACGTGACTTTGGCAGAGGGTCCAGGAGGGGAAACTAGCAACTCCGGGGCTGCCAAGGTTGAGGAAGATTCTGTGGGGAGTACCTTCTTACCTAGAGAGAACAGGATGCACATTTTAATCTCTACACAAGGTCGGACAGGACTCACATTGTAGAAACGATGAACATCTCATTTCCCATGAGGCTGTACAAATTAGCCTAGTTAGCTGCACAGTATCTATTCGGGGGAACAAAACGTTTCTTTAATTAGGAAGAAAGACAAACAACATTAAAAGAAACGTGTTCTGCTTTTTGTCCCTGCCTCTAAAGCACATCTGTATTCTGAATGACAAAGCAGAGAGGAAATACAGCCTGACGGGCAATGCCCTTTTTCCCAGAAGGATGACTCATCTCCTTAACATCCGGACAAGACACGTTTATAAGGATGGCAACTTTTGAGAGCCACTGGTTGGCATGTTTTAGGCTACGTCTTTTGCTTCCCTGTAGATACAATGGAGCAAGTTCATTTTAAATGCACAATCTTATAAAAATGTATAAAAGCAGGTACCAGGCGTATTTCATGCGTGTGTATCATCGGTACAGATATATCAGTGGATTTGTTTGTGGGCTGGTAACCTGGCCAGAATTCCAGAAAACAGAGAGTGGCTTACTCCTCTAGCACTTTCTCTTCCTCAATAGAGAAGCCAGGAGCTCCTGGAGATAGCGAGGTAACTCCAACATCTTGACCCTCTTAGAAGATGCTCCTATAAGGTGATTCTCTCCCTCCCTCTCTCTCTCCCTCCCTCCCTCTCTCCTCTCTCCTTCTCCCTCTCCCTCTTTCTCTCTCTCTCAATTCATGTACTGGCCTCCGTGAATCCTTGCAGTATTATCTCCTGCCACTGGAAGATCGCACTGTGTCTTCAAACAAAGCCAGCTTCCCAACAACTTGCTAAGTGCTTTTATTCTTTTGTGTTTCTCCTTCCTTCTAGAATGAATGTCTAGCCTATTAAAATCCTTCCACTCCTTCAAAGCCCAGCTGAAATGTCTTCTTCCTTTCCATATTCAGTCAAAAGATATGCATTGATGAACTGGGTACTGGGGCCACAGCAGTAGGAAAAAGATGCACTGTACCCTCTCTCCTGGAGAGTAGATTTTAGTGGCAGTGAAGCAGAGAATTAAGGAAAACTAAATATGTATCATATCACCTAGTGATGAACGCCACGAAGAAAAGAAAGTAGGTTGAGGGAATAAGGAATGGTGGCAACTTCAGGCTTCTCCATGAAATTGTCCTTTACCCTCAGGAGGAAATAATTCATCCTTCCCCTATTTCCTTACCCATCACTCTAATGTGGCACCACCCAAAGAGCTACATTCACCAACAAAACACCAGTTCAAATCAATATTAGTGGATATCATGGGGGCAAAAAGAAGTCTGTGGCCAAGTACATCAGAGAAAAGTTGGGCTAAACAAAGTAAGGGAGATTTCTTTACAGCTGAATATTTTGAAAACTTTACCATGTGTGGAATTAAAGGAACTTCAGATAAAATGAGAGGCAGGACAGGCTTGTAGGGGGAGGTCTCAGGCCCCTGCCATGCATAGTCAATTACTCCGGACAGGTTGAGACAGCACCTATACCTCCCACGGGAAGCTGTTGTCTGCTTTACTGTCCAGCAGAAAGAAGAAAACTCTTTGCCCAACAGCCCAGCCAATCAGAGCCTGCAGCAGCCCCACCAATGAGAAACCTCCATACATTGGGCTCCCAATATCCTCCAATGGACTCTTTGGTTTTTATAGCCCTTCCCAGCTACCCACCCCCAACCTTTTTCCCTATAAAAGCAAATTCCCCTTCTTTGTTCTCTGGATTTGCCTATGACCTGCCATAGTTACAGGTCCCAAATTGCAATTCCTCAGGCTCTTCTCAAGTAAACTCACTTTTATTGCTAAAGTAACTGGCTATTATATTATTAAAGTTGATACATGTTAAAACAGGTTCCATACCTGCAAGAGGAGGTACCAAATGAAGTCTTCCCAAAATATATTTGACCACAGTGCCCCCGTGGGTCTAAGGTTGCTTGGAACATACTTCGGAAAATACTTTATTTCCACTTCCACAATATTAATTATTTAAAGAGAGGTATGATAGCCAACCGTTGTGCCCAACATATAACTCAACACAACTCACGTCATGTAGTAGGTATAAACAAATAAGCATTTTTGTTGGTAACAGCTTATTGTCTTGGGTAAAACTAAAGACCTGGTTTCAAAGCCCTCACTAATGTGATAGGTGGTGGGATAGGAATGGGTGCCCACTGCGGGGTATGTGAGCTTACTTTTTTTCTTTTGTAAAAGAAAAGAAGTAATGATGCTTGCTTTCAGCTCCATCTCCCCAAAACACCCTGGGGAAAAAACTCTAAGAATTTTTCTCAAAGTAAGTTTTTAACCTGGAAGATATGGTAACCCCCTCTGTAGAGGACTTGAGCTGATGTTTCCAAGAAGGTCGCAGGACAGAAGGAAACTTAGAAACCCTTTGACTGTACTAATATTGTAACCGCATTTAAATGTGGTTAAATTTAAATTATCCAAAAGTAAATAAAATTTAGTTCTGTCACATTAGCCACATTTCAAGTGCTCAATTCCCACATTTGTCTAGTGGCCACTGTACTAGAAAGTACCAATCGAGAGCATTTCCATCGTTGTAGAAAATTCTACTGGACAGTGGCTGCTAGAAGTACAATCCTCCATCATCAGACCCTTGAAATTACTTCACGACAGCCCATGTTCTTTTCTGGCTTCCACTGAAGACCTTAAACCATGACCAATGCCCGCCATCCCAGACAAGACTACTGTGTGGTCACTTTAAGACAGCCCAGCCAAAGGATCGACATGGAACCAGAGGCTAGCAGCAAACGGAAGGCATCTCAAAGAGTGTCTCCATCTGTCTTTTTGCCCACCTGGCACTGGCATTGTCCCAGATACACCAGGAGAGGCTGCAGGCCACACTGTAGTCCCTGTGAGCAGAGCACACATAGCATGGTTTCTGTTGAGGAAGAAAGAATGGGTTGGTTAAGGCACCAACCCAGGTAAGTGGTGGAGTCTGGATTTGGGGAGGGATGTGAGTTTCCATCTCCTCTCACCAACCTGTACAAGCAAAAGAGTTTAACCAGGGTTGAGTGGTGAGTTCCTGGTGGGCAGACCCAACGCCAAGGTGAGGACGCAGAGGATGAATTCCCTGTAGAGCAGAATCTGTTTCTTCCACAGAGGCTGAGCTTCCCACATGCACTGGAAAATCTTAAGCCAATTTCCCAACTAATTCACAAGCTAACTGAGACCAGACTGCTTCTCATCGCGCTGTACGATCATGCCATTCCGTGCATCCTAGGCTGAGCCTTCGTTTAGATTACAAATTTCCCAGCACAGTTGTTACTGGTAATTAAACCTACTTGATTGTTCCATTACACAAAGATTACATGACGGTAAAGGAATCTTTATCTCATTTCTAAATGTGTACGGAAATGAGACCCAACAAGGGTAGAAAAATCTGTGAAAGATGGGCGCCCATCAGTTTTTGGCAGGTCTGGATCACGGAAACTCAGAGATTTAAGGCATTTTAATATACCAGCGTATATCTGTTTTATTGTTACACAATGAAAATTAAACATGAATGAAAAAACGTCATGAATTACTTTGAAAAATCACATTGGCAGTACCAGGAAATAAATTCCCAGCAATTTACGTTTTTGTGATCCAGGGCCGTTCTAGAAGAATTTTTCCAACATTCCCTATCTAACCTTTTGTTCCCAGTCCACACTCGCTGCCAGAAAAATAAAGGACTGCCTCAGGTCATCGACTTCTTGGCTGAAGTACTTATCCAGACTTCCTGGGCCTGGCTGATTTCCACTCTTTTATTTTATTTTTTCAGATTCGAGTCCCATTTCTCCCCCCTTCACAGTGCAGACTTAGATCAGAATGATGCAAAGGTCTGGTTGCAAATGCAGATGCATTTGTATGGCGAATGAGGCCACAGCCCGAGAGACTACATGTTTAATTAGCCCCCAGAAGATTCTTGCGCAGACTGAGGTTACTTGCCGCCATATTTGACATCAAAGTCCTCAACAACGAGGATCAACTGTCAGGTGTCCCTATATCTCCAACATCCAACTTGATGCCAAGCCCAAGAATGAGCGCTCAGCCTTGAAAACATGCTGAACCAAATTCACAAGCTCTTTCCTTTTTAATGGGTCTTTTACCAAAAAGCAAGGACCACATTAAGTAGGGATCTGTACACTTCAGCCCACTTTGTACAAAACAATCCACTCAACTTCCCTGGAGTCTCTCCTGAGCTGGACCTGCCCCAGTTGCCAACTCCCAAGCCCAGAAAGGAAGATTGTTCCAGTGCTACCAGGAAGGGTACCTCCTGGCACTGGTGGGCACCAACTGCCTTCCGTCTGGGGATGCTACATCACCCAGTGTTCAAAGGAGGTGGCCTTATCCTCTCAACATCAAACGTCTCCCTTGGGAGCACTTAAACTAGTGTCTTCACCCTTACAACAGAATCACCTAGAAGCTTGCTCACAAATGCCTGTTCCTGGATGCATTTCCACCCTGAGATAAGCACCCGTAGGGTGGGATTCGGGGCACTTAGATGTCCACGCAGCCTCCTCGCCCCCAGATGATATTGATGCTGAGGACCCCTGACCCATTCATAAAGGAATTTCTACTTCAACCTAGTCCTCAAACAACGCTGTCATCTTCCTCTGCTAAAAGGGGAGAAGGCTGTGCCTCCTTAACTCTCTCTGACTTGCCAGGAGGAGGGGTGAGGAGTGAATGAAAGTGATGGGAGAAGTGTCTACTCCTCCAATACCCAGCCCAGCAATTGTAACCGTCATCCCCTGATGGATACGTGAGAACGAATCTGAAAGCTGTCTCCTGAGACTTCCCTGCAAGAGTTTAGAGACCCTCTGCAAACTGAGGAAGGAGTGGAGGAAACTCCCATTTCTTGAGCTTTATCTCCTTAGGAAAGTAATGGTAAGTGCTCAGTGTTTCCTTATACCTTACCTTCTCGCCACAGCCTACCTAGACCCCACTGCCTACCCCCAGACAGAATTAATTGCTTCCCCGCTGCTCCTGGCCCCCAGAGCACTTTGGATCCCCTCCCCGATTAGAGCGCTAATCTGGCATTAACGCTAATTGTTGCAGGTCTTTTCCCCAGACTTCCTTTGCTCCAAAGGCTGGCTGGTATTTTCTTTATCTCTGTACCACCCAGGCCTGGCCTTAAGGTGCTGCTCAACAATGTTTCCAGGTGGGTGGGCTGCAGATAAGCTTCACCCTGGCCCCTGCGATGTGCTTTTTTGAGAGAAATGCACATGGAGGTGTTGGCTTTGCAGGCTGGCCTGAAGCTTTTTATAGCTTCACTTTTCTTCAACACGTTTTCCAGAATTATGTCACTACCAACAAATCTGTGTGCAAAAGCTACAGAGACAAGTCATTTCCTCTAAAAGACATTGCCCATTAATCTTGAATCCTGTATTGTTTTGCAGATATATATATCTTCTTATTATGGTGCATTTCACCTTGTGATGTTCCCTGTACTATGGCTTCCAGCACTACAAAAGCCATAAAAGCTAAGTGTTTTTCCAGCAGTATTTCTGATCTTGAAAGTAGATGCCCTGCATATAGCCTTGGTATACAGCAAAGCATCTCAGGGCTCTGCTTTTTACATGAAGGCAATCCAAACTCCTGCTACATTCTGATTTTCTGATGTCAGGAGTATGGATGGGGATTTTTCAGAAGGTTTAAAGCATTTTTTTTCTGGTTCCTTCAGCGCAGACTTTTGGAAGAGCTGCCCCCGCCCAACTGCCTCCAATCTCTCCTCACTTCCAATCCATCTCCCACCCTGATTCCACAGAGATCTTCCTGAAAACCCAGACCTGTTATTCCTATTCCTTTAGAAAGAAGGTCAACCTCCATCTGCTGTGGCTTCCAAAGCCTCTTCCTCTATTCCCAGGGCTCTACTCTACAAAATGCCCTTTTTTTTTTTTTTTTTTTTGTGGTACACAGGCCTCTCACTGTTGTGGCCTCTCCCATTGCGGAGCACAGGCTCCGGATGCGCAGGCTCAGCGGCCACGGCTCACAGGCCTAGCCGCTCCGCGGCATGTGGGATCTTCCCGGACTGGGGCACGACCCCGTGTCCCCTGCATTGGCAGGAGGACTCTCAGCCACTGCGCCACCAGGGAAGCCCTGAGCTTAGTGGTTTTAAAGGTCTTGGGAACCGTGGCCCAACTGTCCCATGACCCAGGGCCACATTGTGATTTTCATGGGCCCTAGGTAATTTTGGGTTTATGGACACCCCTTCCTCCATAAAATAATAAAATGAATTCTATTTTAAGATTGCATTGGTATAAAGATGAATATAAGCCAGGCTGGATTCATTATTGTATTTTGCATATTATTGTATTCATTTTCTTCCTTTAGAAGAAATTAAAGTTAAAGAATTTTCATGGGGTCTTGAAATTATTGAGGACCCCAGGCATTGCACCTTCTGTGCAGGATGGAGAAGTCAGCCTAGCCTTCAGCCTCTGAAGTGACCTCTTAAGTGTCAGCTCAAACCAGGCTCCCTCTCACTGGTCTTCTCCAGCTACTTCTGGGGTCTTTGCACAAACTTGTCCTTCTTCCTGGAACGCTCTCCCTGCCCTTCTCCCTCTCGGCGCATCAGAATCCCCTTCCAGTACAGATCACTGTGCTCTGCCCTCAGTTTCTGATCCAGCAGCCCCCGGGGTGGGACCCAAGAATCTACCTATTTTTAACAGCACACAGGTGGTGCTGATGTGGACGGTCGTGGCTGGTCCCAGGACCACACTTGTAGAATAGCTGCTTTCGACGTCAGCTCCACTGTCAATCTCTCTGGTTAGCCTTCTGATCTGTTTCTCCCTCACATGCTCTCCAGGGACTAAGGACTTCTGCTTTATCTATGTAATTTTTGATTCGTGTCTCTCTCTCCCATTTGACTGTAAGCTCTGCGGTGTCTTTTCGTTCACTGCGGGAGCTGCATCCAGCACAAAGTACGTGCTGGGTAGTCCTGTGTTGACTGCTGTTCAGAAAAGTTGAACCAACTTGACCTCCTAGCAACAGTGAGTGCGAGTGTAAGAATCCTCTCAACTCACCAGCACTGCATTTTCACTTTTTTCTTTTTTCACTGTTGTCAATTTCAGAATGCCTCATTTACCTCCGGCATTTGAGGGACAGCTGAGAGCTACTTTGCGCGACCGGGAGGGCGCGGCGTTTGAGCACCACTAGCCCCGCCCTCACGTCTCGCCCCGCCCCGATCCTCCGCCTACGGCTCTCGGCTCAGTCCTGCTTCCGACCCTAGAACCCGCCCCATCCCCGCCTCCGGCCACAGGCCCCGCCCCATATCCGTCCCCAGGCCCCGCCTCTCTCCCCGCCCCAGGCCCAGAGCTTCTCTGCGCATGCCTGTCCGGGCGATTTGTTTTTCACCCCCGGCCCGCCCCGGGAGGAGTTACCGGAAACAAACTTTCCCGGGGAAGATGTGGCGATACTGTCCTCCCCAGAAGCCAGTCAGGTAAAGCCTCCCCGGCCCTGGCACCCCGAGCCCTGCCTGGCCCGGCCTTGATCGCGGCGAGGCCGAACAGATCGCTGGCCACGTATGACCGGCGCCTTTTGGCTACTTTTTGCTGAGCCCCCTTGCCCACCCTCCGAGCCCGCTCTCCGGGCGCTCACCTCTCTTGGCCGCTCGCAGGGTCCCTGGGCCTTCGCAGCTTCTCCCGCCAAAGACAGAGCCGTTTGTGGCTATCGTGGGTGCACACCCCTCCCCCAAGGGCTTCCCTCTTCCGCTCACCCGGTCTCCGGAGTCCGACCTCAGGGACTGCGAGGCCGCGCCAGGCAGCTCAGGGTTCAAGGTCGGGATCTTGGGTCTCAGTTACGTAACCTCTCTGAGCCAGGACGTGATCGTGTTTTCACCTTAATGAGAAAAGCATGGGAAGAAGGTGAGACGAGCCCATGCCCAGAATGGGGTGGCTGCTACTGTTGGTGTTTTTATGGCGATTACCCCAAGGACCAGCCCCCTAATGGGGACGTTTTTGCAGACTTTTGCTTCTGCTGGTCCCTCTGGTCAGTTCTGGGTGCCTCTTAAAAGCCCTACTTTTAAGTAGTCCCTCGCATTCCCGGTAGGGACAGCTTCCTTTTCTGGACGCGGGCTTGTGTGCACGGGATGCGCTCTGGAGTCTCCTCCAGTGCCAGCATTCCGTTTCTCTTTTCAGGCCATTTGGTCGCTTTTGACATCCACTGCTGTTACCCAACCACATTATTGATCATCCTGCCTCGTAGAAAGAAGCAAAAACTAGCAAACATCTCTGGCAACAACTGCCTAAGGACTGAGACATTTATGATAACATGTTACCATTCCTTGGACCCTGAGTGTCAGCCACAGAACCATGTCATTTAATCATCACAAATATCTTCAACATGTCACAGATGAGGAAAGGGGGGCTTAGAGAGGTCGTTCCTAACACTTTGAAACCAGTTCTGCCTCACTTAAATACCCAATTTTGCCCCTTATGCAAAACTGCCCTAACCATAGAAAAGTTAAAATCAAACTGTTAGTTTCTAGGGCTGCCATAACAAAGTATCCCAAACTGGATGACTTAAAACAACAGAAATGTATTCTTCCACAGTTCTGAGGCTAGAAGCTCAAAATCAAGGAGTCAGCAAGGCCATGCTCCCTCTGAAGGCTCTAGGGAAGCACCCTCCCTGCCTGTTTCAGCTTCTGGTGGCCCCAGGCATTCCTTGGCTTGTGGCACCATCACTCCAATTTCTGCCTCATCTTCAAATGACCTTCTTCCCCATATATGTGTCTCTCTGTGTCGTCTCCTCTTCTTATAAGGACACCAGTTATTAGATTTAGGGCCCACCCTAATCCAGGATGATTTCATCTCGAAATCCTTCACTAATTGCATCTGCAAAGATCCTGTTTCCAAATACCATCCTGTTTTCAAATAATGGTTGTTTTGGGGAGGGGACACTATTTAACCCACTTCACAAACCAGCAATAAAATACACCTGTCAAAAGGACCAAAACAGACCCATAGTTATGGAGTCAGGGCATCATTTGTGGTTATAAATCTAAATACTTGGCTTTTACTAAGTCACAGGTGGACCCAGCCATCTATGTTGTAACAAGACCTCTGGGTGATTCTGTTGCTGCTTAAGTTTGGGAACCACTGTTACAAGGCATTTGAAGACAAGGGTTTGATAATGTGACATAAGGGCCAGGTTAAGAGAAAGTCCTTAACCTTACGATGGTCTAACCTTACAGTGACTTGCTCTGCAAACCTCTCTTCCTGAATATTATTATGGGTTTCAACACTGAACTATTGCACTGTTGAAAGAATATTTACCATTACTTAAAATTCATTTAGCTTTTGAAGTGAACTCAGGTACGGAACTGTGTTCTTAGTAGTTTTTTGTCTCATTTTAGCTTGCCAACAGTCATGTGATTTGGGTATTATTACTGCTGCCATATTATTAAAAAGTACACTGAGATTCAAAAATGGTAAATGCCAGGACACACAATGAAGCAGAAACACTGTCAGGATTAGGAACTTTTTTTTTTTTTTAGGAGTATAGATGCTCTACAATATTCTGTTAGTTTCTGCTGTACAATGAAGTGAATCAGCTATATGTATATGTATATCCCCATATCCCCTCCCTCTTGAGCCTCCCACCACCCCCCATCCCACCCATCTAGGTCATCACACAGCACCGAGCTGAGCTCCCTGTGCTACATGGCAGGTTCCCACTAGCTATCAGTTTTACACATGGTAGTGTATATATGGCAGTCCTAATCTCCCAGTTTGTCCCACACACCCCTTCCCGTGCTGTGTCCACACATCCATTTTCTATGTCTGCCTCTCTATTCCTGCCCTGCAAATAGATTCATCTGTACCATTTTTCTAGATTCCACATGTATGCGTTAATATACGATATTTTTTTTATGACTTACTTCACTCTGTATGACATCATAACTCTGGTTACTAAACTGTTTGGTTTGTTTCCATTTTAGAAACAGTTTGATAGATGACGCTAAGGCCCGCTTAAGAAAACATGACGTTGGGACCAAATATTCTCACTTGTTGTCTAACAAATGTTCCATCCTTTTACCGTTGTTGGCTAAAGAAGGAAAACTCTACCTGTTGTTCACCCTTCGGTCAGAGAAGGTAGGTGACAAGAAGGCTCCTTCCATTAAAGTCTCAGGACATGCGAAAACCCCAGGAAATGCTGTCACCGGCACTTATATTGAGGTTCTAGCTTCTCAACTGTACTCTCAAAATTGTGATGTTCGAGAAGTACATGAAGCCACAGGATAACAGGGCTGTTTTGGAGAAGTTTTGGAAAGTAAAATAAGTAATTTAGCTAGCAAGTAATTTAAAATAGTTTTAGGCCAGGGTTTCTTATCCATCCATTGGCATTTGGGCTGGATAATTCTTTGTTGGTGGAGTTGCCCTGTGCATTATAGGATGTTTAACAACATCCCTGGCCTCTACCCACTACATGCCAGTAACACACACACACACACACACACACACACACACACACACACACTCACACACTCACACACACTTTTGTGAGAACCACAAATGTCTCCAGACATTGCCTACTGTTTCAGCAGGGATGGGGAGGGGATAAAATTGCCCCCACTGAGAGCCACTGTTTTAGACTACTCCCACCCCAGGTATAATGTGAAAATTCTAGAGCACTGATGTTGACAGCCTGGGCCCTAAGCTGGCTGCCTATGTTCAAATGCAGTCTTGTTGAAGCTGTGTGACTTTGTCCTAATTAATTACCCTCTCTGTGCTGTAATGCCTTCACTTGCAAAATGAGGACAAGCTATTAGTACCTGCATCACAGGGCTGCTGTGAGGGCTCTACAGGGTAACAAATGTAAAGCACCTAAATCAGTGCTGGCACTTGGCAAGGATTCAGTAAGTCTCAGCTGTCACCATTAGTGTCATTAGCACGTGTGGCCTGAGTTTTTACGATAAATCGTTCCACTTTAAAGAAATGTTGGGCTTGGGAATGGAGTTCCCCTGGGTACACCCCTGGGTACTGTCACTCTCCCTTGCTATTGGGGGTACTTCTGAGGAAAAGTTGGGGAAGCAGTCATTTCAAAGTTATCCTAGTACAAAAAACAAAACAGGCCACAGTAATGAGAAAATAGGCTTTGTAAGCAGAATAAGAAGTATCCCTTGGGTGGGGTCAGGGGGAAGCTGAGGAATCAGCTGAAGCTTTTTGGGTTTGGGATTAGACATGTGTGGGTTCTCTGTGGTCTGGGTCTGGCAACAATGGCATAAACACATGAGATGATGAAAATCCAAGTTCCAAGGGGAGGTACTCAGTGGGAAGCAGGGACCAGGGTCTGTTCCCAGCTCTGCCAAAATCACCAGAGAAGCACTGAAATATATTTTTAATATTATCAGACAGACAGACAGTAATGTAGAAAATCTAGAGAACCCCATAATGGGTCTCGGTTTCACTCGGAGTTGCTTTGCCTATTGATTATTACGTAAGAATCATCTTAGACCATAAATTCTGATGTGAAAAGGTCACATTTTTTTTCAAAGAAGTATTTCAATCTAATTACATCTGACTTTAGGCCCTATTTGGCTGTGGGAGTAAGAAATTCCCTGAGGCATTACTGGAGCTGTGTCCCTCCCTGGAGTCATATAAGCAGGTCCCCAGGAGACAGACAGACAGACAGATGATAGATGATAGATAGATAGATGATAGACAGATGATAGAGATATATATATATATGATATATATAGATATAGATACCTGATATATATAGATATCTGATATAGATATAGAATCAGAATATATATCTGTATCTCAGAATATATGTATCTATATATATACCTGAATCACTTTGCTGTATACCAGAAACTAACACAACATTGTAAATCAACTATAGTTCAATGAAAAAACATATGAAAAATTTTTTTCTTAAGGGTTAATTTTATGTGAATTTGACCCCAATTAAACAAACACTTTAAAAAATAGTCACTTCTAGAACTGTTCTGAGGACTCAGGGAAAAGAAATCCACGTGAAGCAGCATGCCCAGAACATGGTAAGCACTCAGTAAAGACTATTGATGACATTGCTGTTTTCATTCTCCTTTTGTTCCACTTTTTCTCCTCATCCATGTAAATTTGTTTGTGTGTGTATGGTATCTTTGGAGGGCAAGGAGAGAAAAATCAGAAGTGAGGGTAGTTCTCCAAGTTCATTTTTTAAAAGGATTCAAGAAAAAAAAAAAAAACTTTTCTTTTTGGTCGCATTCCCACTTATTACCACGAGTGTGGGAATGGTCTCTGGCACAAGACAGAAATTCAGCGCATACTTGTTGAATGAGTGAACAGTACCAAGCTTGGAATCACACACTGCAGCTCTTTTCTTTCCATATCCAGCTGAGAAGGTCACCTGGAGAGGTCTGCTTTCCTGGAGGCAAGTACGAACCTACAGATGCGGATGACGTGGCCACGGCTCTCCGGGAAGCCCAGGAGGAAGTGGGGCTGCATCCTCATCAAGTGGAGGTCGTCTGCCGCCTGGTACCAGTGCTGTTTGATGTAAGGCTTGGGATGGAACTGGGTTTCTTAGACTCTCATGAGCTCACAGTGGATACGCTATCTTCAGGGTTCCATGTTTGGCCAAACATGACCCTCAAGAGTGCTATACCGAGTCAAGAGACTGGTTCATGTGTGGACTTCGCCCCTTGTGAGCTAAGAGGCCTTAGGCAAGCCCCCCTTCCTGAATGGGCCCCTTCTTCCCCATCCAGAAATGAAAGGGCTGAACTCCATCAGTGGTTTTCAAACCAGGTGCTGTGGAACCCTGCAGATGCCTCAGAATTGTTTCATTAACATTCAGTTCACATTTATTTTTCTCCAGTATGCATTTATTTTGAGAATTCTCTTGAAACAATAATACACACTTGAGCATACCAAATTTCAACCCCTCGGAGGCCACCAGGGTATCACTTTTGCCCTAAGGATACTCATTTTTGCACATACCGTGCAACCAAGTTTCTCCATGTCACATTACTTGAGCAGTATCCTGAGATCACTAGGGAAGCTGTTTAAAAACAGTTACTACTTGTAACTGCATTTCTGTGTGAAGCAGCATTTCCTTGATAGTATATACCAAACAAACAAACAAACATAACAACAAAATGAATCCTGGGGCTGAGATAGCCAGACCTTATTTCATATGAACTGAACACAACAATTTCGTTGTTGTACTAGTTGACTTTAGAAGAAGTAAATACTAATTGACTTTAGAAGGAGTAAATATGAAGTTGGATAACAGCGTTGTTTTATCAGTATAACATTATTCATATAAACTTTTAATTTTAGAATAGTTACAGATTCACGGAAAAGTCACAGAGAGTTCTCGCATACCCGTACACGGGTCCCCCCATTATTGACGTCGGACATCACTGTGGTACATTGGTGACAACTGAGAAACCAATGTTAGTACATTACCATTACCTAAACTCCACTCTTGTCTTTTACTAGTTTTTCTACTAGTGTCCTCCTTTCTGTCCTGGATGAGATCCGGGACACCATGTTGTGCTTGGTTGTCATGTCTCCTTATTCTCTGATCTGTGACAGTTTCTTAGCCTTCCATTATTTTCGTGACCTTGACGCTCTTGAGGTGTACTGGTCAGGTATGTTCTAGAATGCTCCTCAATTGGGGTTTATCCGGTATTTTTCTCCTGGTTAAGCTAGGTTTATGGGCTTGAGGGAAGAATATCACAGAGGTGAGCTGTACTCATCGCGTATCAGAGGTAGGTGTAAACTTTTTTATGTATTAAATTATATCAGGCTTCCAGGTGAATTTTTATGTCAAAGGAAGAATCCCACTGATACCTAAAAATTAGAAAACCAGATCGCCCTTTGTGAAGATCAGTGGTGCTGAGATATGTCTTAGTTGGGTCCATTTTAAAAATAGAAAGGTCACCACTCAAGGGAGATTTAGTTTGGAAGAAGCTGATGGCAATAAATGCATCCTTGATGAAAAAGAAATGACACAGAGAAAAGGAACATGGGATTAGGACAAGATACGTGTCAATTACTTCCTCTTCAACTATGTTTTCTACTGGGAGCCCGTTTCAGAGGATGTCTGCAAATCCCCCAGCACATCTTAGGGATTGATTTTAGAACTCTTGACAAAACGCATAATGGTTGTAAGTTCCCAAAGTAAGAGTAACTCCATTTCCAAGGTCCCCAGGAGCTACTGAGTTCTGCCCTTGAGGGGATACGATACAACAGTCTTCACAGGTGTTTATGGGTCTTCAGGAGATTTCCGTGGACCAGACGCTCCCGGAGCAGGAGGTTTCTAAGATGACCTGCTCTTGATATAATGCTGATCACATCAACGAGAAATTAGAATGAACAAAGGCTTTCAAGAAAGGTGTACTGTGTTTAGAAGTGCTAGTGAGGGTCATTTTGTTTTCTGGACCTTGCAGATCTTTTAAATGTGCTACCAAAATGCCATTTATTTAATGCTTAGAAGCATAATCTAATCCAGTGGTTCTTAACTGGGGGTAATTTTGTCCCCCAGGGAACACAGGGCAATGCCCGAAGATGTTTTGGGGTGTCATTGGCTTTTACCCACACCCGCTGTTAACCCTCCCACGCATTCCAGCCCCCAACCTGCTTGTCCTTTTGTCATACACGTATGAACTTCTCTCTGCAAAGGCCTTGGGGGACAGTTCTCCTTTTTCTCTGTACGTGGCCCATACCTGCCAGTCTCGATCCTTTTCTTTGCCTCCCAAAGGCCCAATTCCTGTAACATTTCAGTGGTGTATCCTGACTTCCCGGGATGTTTCTAATAGCCTGCAGCTTCTTCCAGGGGCCCTAAAGCCTGCCTCACCCTATGTCCACAGCAGAAGCCTGTCTCCATGGCATTTCAACTCAGCAAATGGCCAAATTCAGAGTTTTATGGGTCCTAGGATGTCTGCCACGCACCACCCTTTATTCCCCTGCCAATTCAGACACCTGTGTTTCTAGAGACCGGATGTCCAGAGATGCTGCTTCATCCACAGATTCGCACAGTCTCTCTTACTCTTCTAAGCTTGAACCATGTTAAACGTGCCTGACTCTGCATCTGAAACATTCAGTCTTAAACCATGATCTCCTTTTGAGGCTTTGATTTTTTTTCCCCACCCATTTCCTCAGGCTCTGACATACCAATTTAAGGGCCAGCACTGCCATGCAAAGTCACTTTCCATGCACCTGCCTAACAAGTGTGGCCCTCAGTCCTCGGGAGGGGATGAAATCTGAGCTGCAGCTGGGAACGCTCCACCGTCGTATTTAAGCCACCCGCTAGTGTGCCATCTTGGAGATATGGTGACACGTGTTTGATAGAATTTGAGTGTGTGGGCAGCAGGCCCGTGGTCGAATCCTGGTTTCTGCCAAGTGTTAGCTGGATGTGACCTTGGGCAAGTTTTTTCTTGTCCAGTTGCCATTGTTCAAGCTTCCTCGTGGGCAGGTTGTTGTGAAGAATCAGGGGGAGGGTGTTGGATTCTAGAGAAAGTTATGGTCTTTGAATGGAAATAGCAGCCACGGATGCGTGCTGAGCAATACTCCAGGCTCTGTCCAGATGCCTTCGTAGTCATTTCAGGCCGTGTTTCTGATACACACACCAGCAGCTTTCTTCCAAGACCCGTGCCCTTGGACTACTGGAACCGCCTCCCCTGATGCACAGAGAGCCAGCACTGCCTTGATTTACTCCCAGCTGGGCCGTCCTCAGCCAATGACTGAGCGGCATGAAAGCCCAGCCCCCTCATCTCGTGGGACAGACTCGAAGGTGCACTTTACACCCCGCAGGCCCCCACGGCGTCCTTGCCTGGCTCCCCCCCCCTCCCCGTCTTTCTTCCCCGCGCCCTTCCTCACCACTTCCTTAAGAAATCACTTGCATCTGAGTCTTCATCGCAGAGGCCGCCTTTGGGGAACCCTGGGACAGAAGAGGCTGAGCCTTCACACAGGGCCAGGCACAGTGAGGGCTGCTGCTGGAACAAAGCCTCTGGCCTCTGGCAACTCATGACCCCAGATTTCCCACTCTAAGGGTGTCTCAAGTCTGTGCTCCCATTCTCCTCTCCTGGTCCAAATGTTGACTTTTCATCGTTAATTGGGTTAATGGTCTGAGTCATCACTGTTTTTTTTTTTTGGCTGCACCACACGGCATGTAGGATCTTAGTTCCCCGACCAGGGATCGAACCCGTGTCCCCTGCACTGAGCGCGTGGAGTCCTAACCACTGGACCGCCAGGGAAGTCCCAGTCATCACTGTTCTTAAACATGCTTTAGCTGTCCTTCCTCAGAATTTTCCACAGGTCTGTTTATCCTCCTGTAGAACCCCAGCCTCACAATGTATCCCTGGATTTTCCCACCCACTTCCTCTTAGGAGTTCTCCCAGGAATTCCTGATTCTTCCCACTTTCTAATTCAAGGTCATGCAGCCCTTATCAGCTTCTACACTAAACTCCAGGCCTCCCCCTCAAGATTTTCAGTAGTATCTTTCAGTTAACGGCACCCTACATTCATCTCAGCACAGTAGTGGTTGCAAATAGAAATCCCTCCCCACTTATAAGCATATATGTTATGTAAAACAGTATACATATATACACGTATATATATAAAAAATTTTCCACAAATGGGAATATGCCACAATTAATATGATGTCGCTTTTCTATTGATAAGATGGCACATACTTGTCTATACTGATAAGGAAAGGTGTCTATCACATTCTTTTTAAGGGCTGCATAGTACCCCATTATATGGATATAGTCGTAATTGATCTACCCTAAATATCCATTGAGCAGTGATAACTTTGGTTTGGGACTATTGCAAATAATGCTTCAGTCTCGTACGTTTATCTTTTCTCACTGGTAGGAATTTATCATACAGATGTACCCACACAAATGCAATTTCAGGGCCAAAGGGAGCACATTTTTATAATATTACTAAATCTCTGTTCCCAAAGATTGTACCAATTTATGTTCCCCAAAAATATCATTTTCAGACTCAGATGCTGCCTCACTTAGGGCAGAGACCACTCCCATTTAGGGGGACATAAAGTTTACTTATGGAGCAAGTTTTATGTAACTGACTGCTTTGGCCTGTGAGCTTAGCTCATGTAGAAGTGGCATGCTTTTAACCATGCTTTTTTTGAAACGGTATGTCTTCACTTCTCAGTTTGTATCTTTTGTGTTTTGCTTTCAGAGAGATACATTGATAACCCCTGTTGTAGGATTTATAGACTCCAACTTCCAGGCCAAGCCTAACCCCGATGAAGTTAAGAATGTGTTCCTGGTTCCTCTGGAATATTTCCTGCATCCCAGCGTCTACCAGCAGAATCACCTGACACGCTCTGGTCATCATATTATTATTCACTGCTTTGAGTACACGAACCCTGAAGACGGTGTGACTTATCATATCCGGGGAATGACTGCAAAATGTGCCTTGTTTGTTGCCTTAATTATTTTGGGAAAAAAACCCTCCTTTGAGGTTGAATTTAATCTCAACGATCTGATGTCATCCTCTGAAGAGTCTTTACTGAAGCTTCATAAACGTGCTACAAGCAAGTTATGATTTATGAGACCAATACTCAAATAACTCTCTAAACGGTGTTTGTGTGGGCTTTTCCACAGAACAACAATAAAGCCAGCTGTTGGAATCTGACAGGTACGAATGTTTCCTGCAATATGAGGGTAAAAACCGTGCCTTTTTTCCAGTTCCCCTCTATTATCTGAAAAAGCAAAAGTCTTTCAAAAGTAGAAAAATGGGGACTTCCCTGGTGCAGTGGATAAGACTCCACACTCCCAATGCTGGGGGCCCAGGTTCGATCCCTGGTCAGGGAACTAGATCCCACATGCATGACACAACTAAGAGTTCACGTGCCACAACTAAGAAGCCCACCTGCCACAACTAAGACCTGGTGCAACCAAATAAGTAAATAAAAATTAAAAAAAAATTTTTTTTAAGTAGAAAAATGTGTTTATACTGTTGCATAATTTCACCCACAGTATATCTAACAATGCTTTCCTTACACATGTAAGAAAAAGGATCAGGCACATAGTAGGCACTTAATAAATATTTGTTAAATGTATGATCTTGTGGCATTCATCTTGTTTGTAGGAGGTAATACCTCTATCTGTCATTACATGTGACAGAAACTTCTGACCAGCCATCAAAATCCATCCTCCTTTTCTTATTTGGCAATGGCGTTGAATCTGAGCCCATAGCTGCCCAGGTAGAAACAGCATTACCTAAGTTCTGGTGCAGTTAAATGTAACTCTGAAATTTAACTTAAGCCAATGGAATGTGAGTGAAAATCGTTCTTGCAGTCATCTCCAATTTAAGGGACAAGCCAGATTCCCTGGATTCTCTTTCCCTTTTCCATGATTTATCTGCACAGCCTTGACTACACAGATGAAGACAATTCCTGCAGGAAAGTTAGTGCCAGCCTTGACTACACAGATGAAGACAATTCCTGCAGGAAACTTAGTGCCAAAAGATGGTAAGAGCTTGACTCTCTGAATGAGTCTGTGGAGCAAAGCAACCCACCATCCTGGACTACGCACTTGGGACTGTTACACGGGAGAAAAATAAAATTCTGTCATTTCTGCCACTGTAATTTGGGGTCGCTGTTACAGCAGAGCTTTAGCCCTAATAATACACCATAATACTTGAAAATGGTTGGATGGATATTCACCCAAACTTGAGGTGTTGCCAGCAATTAGAATTCAGGATGGTCTGCATTTAACATGAGTTCTGGGACGTGCACAGGACAACTTTAGGTGTTGGTGGGGTTTGGCAGTCATCATCCAAAATAACTGAAATGAAGGAATATGAGAGGCCTGCAATCAGGAGAGATAACATTATCTGTCTTAATATGCTAGCAGAAAAACACTGATTTCAAGCACAATCCCGAAATCAAAAGCCAAAGAGACAAACATTCTGAATCGCGTGCCTTGAAATCTACCACATCTTACGTGGGCATCACCATATATCATGCTTTAGAGTTCGCAGGGATTTCTTCGTTTAATTATGGTATCAGCCATCCTGCACCAGATCGGGGCGGGGGGGGGTGGTTCTTGAATAAAGCCACATAACCTCAATTGTATGATGGCACTTTCCCATTTTCTTGAGTATTATTAGGTTTTTAGAAAGCCAGACCATTTTTAATAAGACTGTGTTGTAGCTGAAAACGTGATGTCCACAGTAAACACATCAGTCAGCCATGCAACTGTCCATTGCTGCTGAGTTTTGATTTTCCAAGAGCTGGCAGAGGAAAACATTTGATCTGCTGCTTTATACCCATAAATGTTGAAATGGTGCAAATCTGGCTCCAACCACGAAAGCAGATGGTGGGCGAGTTTCCCCATTAACATTCTGTAACTAGCCCTGCGTGAACAGGCCTAAGCTGTTTCCGAACAATTTTGGAGGCATTTGCAAATGTGTATTTACAATCTGACAGCAGTGTAATTGCCGGGTAGGTGATTGACCTCTCTGGCTGTGTGGAAAGCCACCTTTCTGAACTGTTTATGCGAACGCCACAGACCTGCCTGGTTTCTAAGAGGAGGTGGCTCAGCTGAAGTCTACACTCTGAATGACACCCATGGCCACCCACTTTAAGGGGCTTAGTGACGGAGGTATTGCCCCCACCCCCCTTTTAGTGGTGTTAAATATCCTGTTACAGGGACAGACATCTAGGAAGTCTGGCTCAAATAAAAGAAGTTATTGGCAGAGTACTGATCTCACGGAATATGCAAAACCACTGGAAAAATCAGTCTCAAGGAACATAGTGGTGGGGATCAACCCCTACCTCAAAAGCAAGAGGATGTGAACCTTTACTTCTGCATCCTGTCATCATTACGACAATAACCATCCTACTGAGTTTATTGATACAGACAGAGAAAAACAACAGAAACAGTGCTTCAGTCCCTAATTCTCTCAGAGGAAACTCCATTTGGCCTCAATTGGGTAACCTGGCAGGTTTCCAGGAACTACAGACATGTTCAAGGGCAGGGGTCAGAGGTGGGGCCACAATTGCATGTGTCTCCCTAAGTCCCCTGAGTCAGCAGGCTCTGGGTGGGAGCATTGCTGAAGATGGCGGGGGTGGTGGTGGTGGTGGTGGTGCTGGACAAACATGCCCTAATAGCTACTGCCTCCAGTCCCTAAAATTTGTAAGGTCTGTGGATTCTGCCAGCCAGGCATCTCAATTCTGTCTCCTTTGCATCCCTGCGGCCTTGGTAAGCAGGTGCTTAAGTCTGAGTCTAGAGTCAGGATGCCTAGATTTGAATCCCAGCTCCAGCATCAGTCCATCCGGCAACCTTTAGCAAGTTACTCATTCTCTATAGGCCTTAGTTTCCTCTTCTGTAACACGGGATAGAGAAACTTTTTATTTTAGGGCTATTGATGGGATTAAAAGAGTTAGTACATGTGACCCCTTTACTTAAAGCACACCCAAATGCTCAGAATAATGCCTGGGAAACTAGCAGTATTACTGTTAGTAATTATGGCATTATTATAACTGTGACATTATATCATAACAATAATAATAAGCATTGCTATTTCTCTAGTTCCGAATATTATCATTTTCCTATACCAGAAGTTCCTGAATTTTCTTGGTTCACAATGAGTACCCTTGGTATCTCAGTAATTTTTTCACAGTACATCCAGGCCAAAGGAAACACCTAATAATTTGGTTTGTTATGTTATTATAGGCAAACAAGTTAACAAGTGTTTATGTCCTCCTAACTTGGTAGCCGTTTGAAAATACACTATATACTAGAAAAATACTATTTTCATTTCAATTTAAAAAAACACAATTGCTTATTGATGGGATGTGTGCACCAGCTGGTCACCCAAGTAAATGGAAAACTCAAACACAGTCCTATAATGGGAATAAACACACAGTCACAGAGAGGAGGGACAAGATTTGGGACTCAGGGAAGCCATCCCAGAAGAAGTGGTGGCTGAGCTGAGCTTTGATGGGTAAGGAGATGCTACCCAGGTGAATGGGATGGTGGTGGTGATGATGGGGACTATTCCTATTAAGCACCTGTTATATACCTGGCCCTTCACTTTGATTATTTCGTTTAACCCTCCACCAACTCTCTGCCGTGAGTACTATGGTAATTCCCATTTTTAGGTAGGAAGATTTGAGGGTCAGAGAAGTTCAATATTTGCCCACGGTCACAGAGCCAACATCCACATGCACAGGTATGAATTTCAAAGCCCATATTCTTTCTACTACACCCACTGACTCAACATAAGACTCATTTCCTAGGGACGGAGGCAAGAATAGAAGGTTAACGTTATGTTTCCCTTGAATTACCACGTGGGAAAGGGAAAGCAGAACTAAATAAACTGGGAGAGAGCAGAGTTTATTTTTGCCTTTGTCATGTCCTCCAGCTTATCCAGCTGGTGTCGCACACCGTGAAATGAGTGATTAGCTACGATGACTTTAATTAAAATGGAACATACCAATAAATAAATGAGAGTGCTGGCATCCTTGCTCATTTACCAATTCCTTTCATGGTGCCAGCTTTCCGGTTAAAGAAATGAGATGGGGCAACGTTCCTCCACCCTTTAGACAAGATGAATAAATATAATTCATCTTTTTCTTGTTTCCGGTTGCTTCCTTACCTGAGACTGGCACAAAGTTTTGAGAAAATTCCTGCCATGATCAGCCCCTGGTCCAGCTGTCTTTGATGTGGCATATTGGGGCCCCTCCTAGGGGCTGTGTATAGGCTCCATTCAGAAATCCTGACTGCCCTCCCAGCATCACTCAGCCACCTCCCTCTGCCTTCCCATGGCTGCACACCACTCAGACTTAAGAGTCAAGTCCTCTGTGCCAACTCCTCCAACCACCCCTATTTCATAGCTCGGACACTGCTTCCTCTCACCCCTTTGTGTACCTGTTTAATATATGTATATCTTTCTGCTTATTCCAGCCATGACCCTGGAAGGAACAGATCCACAAACCATGAGACCCCCTCTGTCTGACTTCCCCTGGCCTCTGGTGAATGGACCAAGGATCCATGGCCAACCCAAAGGTGGCATCTAATTTGACAGCCAGTAATCTATGACTTGTGTGGTCTACTGAAATAGCTGAGCTAAGTCCATTAGCTTTTCCAAAGAATTTGAACCATGCCAGAAGATGATAGATGCTCAGGAACTATTTTGACCCACATGCATGCTGAGGAGTAAGCCCGAGAAGTTAGAGTTTAAAGGTTAGTTGGACAATAATTGGTGGAAATGTCTTTGATGTAGGTAGTAGTTGTCATGTCAGAGATTCCACCAGAAACAACTGGAAGAAGAAGAAATGTTCCCCAAAGCAACTTAAAGCTCCTTTTTAAAGGTCTCGTATTCATGTCCATAAATTTTTATTTTCTAGATGTAGAGGCCTCGTTTGATATTTCCTTGACTATAACTTCCCTCATTTTTCATTTTATATGTTTGAGCTTTTGTTCCTTACTTCATCATGATTGTCAACGGTACCTCTGTTTCCACTTTTTCTTTTTCACTTATTTCCCATGTGGAACTTGAAGTTTTTCTTCTGGTGATTTTGTTCTACCTTCTTAGTTCATTTCTGTTTCTTTATTAATTTGTGAACAGATTCTGCTCTGGGCTCATTTCATGTCCTTCTACCAACCTGGAGTTTTTCTTCTAAA